ACATATATAATCTTTCAACTTAAAATTTTAATAACAATTAAAACTAGTATAACTAAAAGTTCTAAAAAAACTTTAAAATTTATGTAAAAGATACATAATTTAAAATATAATATTTTCATCAGTTAGGATGAACTCTCATTTTCATAGAAACAAACTCATTTATGATCAAGATGAAATATACTAAATGATTTTAATTGAATAAAATACGTTATGAGAAGTATCTTTTAAATTTTTATTATAATCTTGTAGGTAATATTGAAAAATTGCTAAACAAATAACTAATAAAATCACAAGTTCATAAGTAATTAAAGAACAAAATATAAATAAAGCAAAAATTCAAAAAATCTGGAAAAAAAAACTCAAAATCTCAGTAAAGATATTTGCTTACTTTCATGCTTTTAAAAGAATTATTTGAATTTAAAAAGCACATAGTGAAAATAAATAAATAAATAAATAAATAAATAAGAGAGATAGCATCATATCATATAAATTAGAAGCAAACAACTCTTATTTTAAGATTTTAAAGAGGTAAAATTATAGTTAAATTTAAAATAAAATAGGACTTTAATTAACTTAATTTTAATTAAATAAAATTAAAATTAAATATAATGAAAGTATAAAAATATAATTTTCTCTTGGGCATGAGGGCCAAGGCCCAGGTAGGCCCAGGCTTACCTCCACCCCTGGCTCCACCTACAAACATAGATTAAGTTTTGATTTTTGGTACCCAAATTCTTTTGGGTCCATTTGTATTAGTTCGCAATAACCTCGTCTTCTTTCGTATCTATTTTTCAAGGATATCCTTATCATTAGTAGCGATAAGTCCTTTAGGGATTTATATTCTTTTAACTTTTCTATATGAGGTTCTTTGAGAACCTCTATGTTTGTAATGATTAAAGTTATTTTTAACATAGTTGGGTTTTGAATGTTCACCTTTTTCAAATCTTTTTGTCCCAACATTGTTAAAAGAAGCTTTAAGATCATCAAGTTTCTTTCGATGATCATCATGAACTCTTGAAAATAAGTTATGCAAGTCTTGATTTTTCTTTTCAAACTCTTCAAGTTTGACTTGCATATCTTTGACTTGACTTTCAAGTTCAAGATTAGTCTTAGAAAGTAGAGCATTTTCATCTTTCAATTTTGAAATATTTATTGTGATTAGAAATCATGCTCTTACATTCTAAGGCTAATTCATCATAAGCCTCTTATAATTCATCGAAAGAATAATCAATTGAAATAGATGAATTAAATGTTACCTTAGAATCATCTTCTATGGCCATGAGACACAAGTTGGCTACTTATTCCTCCTTATCATTAAAGGACTCATCATTACTTAATGTAGATACATATGCCTTGTGTTTCTTTTTAGAGGATCCATTCTTTAATTGTGGGCATTCAAACTTGACATGACCGAGCCTTTTGTAGTCATAGCAAATAATAAGACCCTTCTCCTTGGATTCTTTTTTGAAGCCCTCAATTCTTTGGAACCTCATTCCTTTGTTGGACCTCATGAACCTCTTGAATCTTTTGGAAAACATTGTCATTTTTTCATCTTCATCATCTTCATTTGAGTCATTCTCTTCTTTTGTAGACTTGAAAGCAACACCAACCTTTTTCTTCTTTTCCATTTCTTTTTTTTCCTCATCTTTGTTTTCTTGTTTTTCTTCTTCATTCACCATCATCTCACGAATGAGCAAATACCCAATGAGCTCATCTAGATTGAGAGTCTTTAGATTCTTTACTTAAAAAATGGTGGTCTTCTTGGATTGCCATGACTTGGAAGACTATAGATCATCTTCCTAACAAGTTTCTCATTAAGATTGACTTCTCCAAATCTTTTGAGACCATTGACAATAACCAAAATTTGATCAGTCATGCTTTTAATATCCTCATTCAGTCTCATCTTGAAGTTTTCATTATTATGATTGAGAAGACTAATCTTAGTTTCTATTACCTCATTAGTTCCTTCAAGTTCAACTCAAATCTTCTTGGCATTGGAAAAAGATGAAACTCTCTCATATTCATCGGGGTCAAGTGAATAAAATAAAATGTGCAATGTCTTTGCATTGAGTTGGAACAATCTCATTTCTTCTTTATTCCATTCCGTCATAGCTCTAGTTGGAGTATAATGTACACTCATCATGATGCTCCAAGCTCCCAAATCACTAGCTTGGATGAAAAGCATCATTATATTCTTCTAATAGGCATATTTAGTTCCATTGAAGTAATGAGGCTTGTTGATAGATTGGGAATCATTGACAACGTCGAAGTTTGATGTAGAGTCCATGGATGATTTGATTAATAACTTGATTCTTCTAGGATCTTCTCAAAAGGTGGTAAAACCTTCCAATGAGGCTAGCTCTAATACTAATTATTGAGTCAATCAAGGAAAATGGCTAAGAGATGTGAATTGACAATTTAAAAAATTGTTGAAAGCTTTTGCAAGAAGTAAAAAGAAAGACAAAAAGATTTTAGAGTGGTCCAATTTTTTTAATGAAGTATACATCCACTAACTTAGCTTCCTAACTAAGGATTTAAAAAATTCACTATTTTTTCTAACCTTTTAGGACAATGTGTAACCTTACACAATACTAAGATTTATACCCCAAAGTCTTAAGTGTCCAACCCTTCCCAACAAGTAATTACAAATGAGAAAACTTTGATATCCTTACAAAGATAGAATATTTGCAAATTGAAGCTCTCAAAAAAACCCAAGAACACTAGATAAAAATACAATGAATAGAATAGTGTTCTATGAAAGAAAGACACAAATGAATACAAATTTGGCTTTATTTGCTCTTTGATTGTTGGAATAGCTTTCTTGTCTCTTCTTGGCTATTTGAAGACCCCTTTTATATGTCCTCGTTGATTTCTAGTCGTTTGTGATTGTTGGAGGGAGTTTAGAGTCGTTTGAAGTATTAAATTCGCCCATTCAATGCAAACCTGCATAGAGGTTTCGAAAACACCTAGCGGTTTCAAAACTCTCCTTTAAAAAATTTGACTATTAAATAGGGATGTTTCTAAACCTGTGAGGGGGTTTCGAAACCTTAAGGCCAATTTTGGCTACTGCCTTAGAGGTTTCAAAACCACCTAAGGGGGTTTCAAAACCAAACTCTTAAATTGGTCTTGTTTCATATTCAAATAATAATTTAAAACTTTGTAAATTTCAAAAACATTTTTAAATTTATTTTTGATATTTTGATCCTTAAAAATTATTTTTACAAACTTGAAAATTTTTGAATCGAAAAAAATATTAATTTTACAAAATTTTCAATTTAATCATATGTTATATCAAAATTATTTAATTATATTTAACAATATATATATGGGTCATGATCCACTTACACAATGTAAAATTCTTTTAGTTTATATAGATTTAGGATCATTGGATGAATGAAAATATATGGTTGAGGTTAAATTCTTGTTTTTTAGTGAATATCTTCTTATTTTCTACTGTTAATCTCAATCATTTATTTTCACTCATCCAACGATCCTAAATTTGTATAAAACTAAAATAGTTTTACATTCTATAATAGAATCATATCTCATATATAAATTAAAAAATTAACTTTTTTATAAAAAAAATCTCAATCTTTTAAAATCATATATATTTTTAAATTTAAATTTTAAAATTATAATGTATATATTTTGAATTTTATGTTTTTAAAAAATTAATATTTATATTATCTCGAGAAATTCTTCTATTTTTAATTTTTTTCAACTTTTAAAGAAATTATTATATATTACATTTTATTTTATCTTTTTTATATAATTCAATTATAGCATTAATCTAAAGGGACAACAAAGGTATTACAAGAAACCAAATGAGGAATCACCCTAAATCCCCCAACCCTCACATAACCTCAAATTTACCTTATCCACCCTATTAATACAGCAAGACTGCAATCGAATACAAACCATATCCTTAATACAATCAACAATTTCTCTAGTAGATCTAATTACCCCTACGATACTACCTACGACTACGTTCTTCCCACACAAAGTACATAAAACTCACCCAAGCAAGTCTCAAAATAAAAACAATTAAAGACTTACCTTTGAAATTTTCTACAACCCCCTCATAACAGTATCCCAATCATAATGCACATGATGTAAGCAACACAAATGCTAGACACTACCCCAAAATTTAGAAGCAAATGAACACTCCATAAACAGGTGATTCCTAGTCTCGACACAATCACCACATAGAATGTACACCCCATCATTGGCCACACCCATTCGAGTCAGCCTATCTTTGGTTGGCATTCTGTCTAAAATCACCATCCAAGCTATAATCGAGTGCTTGGGCACATGGAGAGGGAACCACAAAAGCCTATGTCAATAAACTCGATCCGTATTTTCTCTAAGATTATCCCAAATCCACTTACAATTAACAAAACTCCTGTTAACATCAACTCCAAAAAACACAACAATCTCTCTCCTTAACTTCAATAACTTCCTAACGGTCCAATTATAATGAGGCTTACAAACCACCCTCCCAAAATCTTCACCCTTAAACACATCCTCCTTAACTCATGCAATCCATAAGGAACCCTCGTCTGTCAATATACTTTTTACAAGCATAAACCCATAAAATTTATTCCAACACAACAAATTTTTAACCCCGAGACCTCCCTCAGCTTTGAGAAGACAACCTGCTACCAGTTAACTCGAGAACCATTAGCAGGAATATCACCGCCTTTTCCGAAAAACCCTCATGCACATCTGCTTAATTTTCTTAATCACCACCTTAGGAAGCAAGACTTGTCCAATACAAATAATTTAAAACACTAAACAAAACAATCCTGATCAACTTCAATTTTCTAGCAAAACTGAAAACCTTCATTGACCAACTTCCCGACATATCTCGAATTTTCCTAATAAGGGAAACAATCTTTTTTCGGTAAACTTCCGAGTGAACAAAGAGATACCAAGTATCTCACAGGTAACCTACCCCTTTTAAAACTAGTCGCCCTCAAAATTCTAGTAAGTTCTTCATCTCATATCCCACAAACATAGATCTCAGTTTTACTAACATTTAACCTCAAGCCAGACATCTTATGGAATTGATCAAGAACACTTATCACCCCAATAACTGTATCAATAGAACCATGACAGAAAATAAGTAAATCATCTATAAAACACAGATGATTAAGAGGAATCCTCTTACACTTGGGATGAAACCTGAAAATTCCACCATGAGCAACCACATCTAACAGACTTGAAATGAAATCCATAATCAAAACAAAGAGGTCAGGGGACAAGGGATTCCCATGCCTTACCCCTCTAGCACCCTTGAAGAACCCCATTGAAAGAACAAAAAATATAGTGGTAATAACACAAGCCTTTACCCATCCTCTAAACACCTCAGGCAACCCCAATACTTCCAAAACACACAAGAAACCTCAATCCACAAAGTCAAATACTTTTTGCAAATTAACTTTAATAGTGCACCTAGGAGAAAGAGTTATCCTATAGTAACCTTTCATACCCTCATATGCTAGCAAAGTATTATCAACAATACTCCTAACCTTAATAAAAGTTGATTGATTCGGAGCAACCATCCTAGGGAAAAAATTGCCAACCTAGAGACTAAAATTATAACAACAATTTTATAAACTACTGAACAGTAAGAAATGAGCCTATAATCTTTGGCCATGCAAGCATCAGGAGATTTAGGCACCAACACAATTGCAGTAGCATTAAAAGCATACAACAAAATAGAAAATTGAAAAAAGTACCTCACAACTACAATAAAATTAGTTTTAACCACATTCTAATAAGCCTTGAAAAACCAAACAGTGAATCCATCAGGCCCAGGGCTCTTGTCATTTCCTTGCCTGAACAGAGCTTCCTTAATTTCTTCGGAAATAACCTCCTTTACCAAATCACCAACAACCCCAACAGGGAAAGTGTATTGCAACAAATCCTTCAGACGTCCTTTCAAGGGGCATCTCATAGTGGCATCAAAAGTACCAATAAGGCCAATGAAAATTTTGACCATTTCATATGACATCTTCTCAAATGTCTCCAACTGATTTTCCTCCTCATCCTTTAGTAGTCTAATTGTGTTATACTTCTTTCTAACAAGAACAGTCGAGTGAAAGAATTTAGTATCCATGTCTCTTTCCTTAAGCCATTGAACCTTAGCTTTCTTCCTATATAAGGCGGATTCAACCTTCTTCAACTCCAACAGCTCTAAAGAAACATGATGATTCTTCCTCGCATCCCTCTGATCAGTATAAATAAGATTAAACAACTCTATTTTCTTCAACTTCTTACGTTTTTCATTAACTCTTTTAGAAATATCATCATATCATCTCTTATTCAAATCCCTTAACTCAGGCTTGAGCCTTTTCATTTTCAAAAATAACATTTGCATAGGATCACCTTTAACCTCCATTTACTAATAATTTCTAACAATATCCGTAAAACCACATTGGCAATCCAAAGATTAAAGAACTTAAAAGGTTTAGGCCTATTGGCCTGACTATCCCTATGCATTCACACCACAACATGACAATGGTCAGACACTCCCTAAGCTTGGAACTAAACATAGGAATCAGCAAAACCCTGCAACCAAGCTTGATTGATTAAGACCTTGTCAAGCTTATTGGCCAAAAAACCCTCATCTTTCTTATTAGTCCAAGTAAAAACTTGACCAGAAAATGGATGGTTAACCATACATAAATAATCCAAACAACTGACCAAATCCTTCATATTAGCACTAGAATGAGGTCTCATCCTCCATGTCAGACTTTAACATTCTTATTTTATCATGTTATGATTTTTTATCATATTATAACATCTTTATGAAGTGGCATGAATCAAACGATCTCGAAGGTAAATGAATTATTTTTATTCCTTTTTTAGCATCACGAATATCAATTTTTTGAGCGTTCAATGCCAAACGATCTCGAAGGTAAACAAAAATTTGAGGGGTGTACCTTGGTATGTTATGTGTCTTAGAGTTAGGGCTATCATTGTTATCATGGAGTTATATAGATTGAAGTGATAAATGCGACTGAAACAGGTCGTAGTGGAATTATATTAGTGAATCACGTTGTAGAGTTAATGAAACGAAATTGGGTAATTCAATTTCAACATGTTCCTCGACAAGGGAATAAACTAACATATTATTTAGTGAAAATGACGTACCATAACACATTTGAGTGCATTAAGTGGACCATTTCATTTCCACTGGTGATAGTGTTACCCTTGTTGTATGAGGAATAGTCTCTACATGAAGAATTGTTGTTGGTTATTGCGGTTTAGTTGAGTTTTCTTTCATGTATTTATCAAAAAAAAGGGTAAAGTATATAAATAGTCCCTGAACTTTTAGGATGTTTTCATTTTGGTCATCCAACTTTTGAAACTTTTAATACAACCATTGAACTTTTAGTTCATTTTCAGTAAAATCCCTGTCTTTACCTCTAGTTAAGTTTTGTTGACGTGGCACTTAACTCCCGTTGATTCCTCTTATTTACTACTACTACTACTGCTGCTGCTGCTGCTGCTACTGCTGCTGCTGCTACTGCTAATCTCTAAACTAAACCCAATTAACAGATAAACCATGTAAGACCCTAAAACCACTAAAAACCCTAAAATACCCTCATTTCTAAATTTTACAACTTTGCTTAAGTTGTTATTTCGATTTCAGGTACTGGGTTGGTTTTATTTACTTTGATTTTTAATTAGATTGCATGTATATGGTAATTAAATAATTATTGGTTGGATATGGGTTGGTTTTATTTACTTGGATTTTCTTAATCCCCTTAATTTAGGGGTTTAAAGTCAATATAACAGATTCAGACAGTAATTATTCTAAAAATGAAACATATTAATTTATTCTACAAACTTCAAATGTCCTAAGTCAACAATATAGTGAAAAAACAATCATTTGAAGCTTACAGTTTCTGTATAAGAACTGCTATAAAAAATTGAAGCATTTTATCCAACATTTAACCATGAAAAATAAATCACATGAAGATGTCATTTTACCTCTGAGTGTCGAAGAATTAATATCAATCATTTGCCAAAAGCAAAACCAACTGTCACTCCCCAACTCAACGAAGCATGCATTGGTTGAGATAAGCGAAAAATGCATCGTTAAAGCTTCTTGAAAAAATCTAGTGGTCTATAATTCATACTACACTTGATCAATACCTAATGTATTTGATCAGAAACTCAAACAATACTTCTTTATTGAACTCCAACCCATTCTCTTCTTCTACCAAAACATGTCGTCTTATGATGAGTTCTTCTGGTTAGCTTCTTTTAGCCTCTCTTGAATAATGAGGTTTTTTTTCGTTTTAGTAGTTGTTTGGTGGTTTTTATGTTTCTAGTAGCTAAGTTAGGGGGAGGTATTGTTGATGTTCCTTCTAGTTAGACACCAGTTACCCCTATAAAGAGTTCTTCAGCAAGTGCTGGTAGAGAATAAGGGTTTAGCTTTAGCCTCTAATTAGAAGCTTTAGGGGAGCTTAAATTACTAGGTCTGATCCGTTCTATTGACTTTAAACCTATTTCTAAACAATCGGTTTTTGGATCTGGGTTTTGCGTGAAAACAAAGGAGAAACAACAAAAATGAGAGATTTCAATTGATTTGAGAAATGTATTTAAGAAATAATCAGTTATGGATTGAAGAAATTGAGATTTCAATTGGATTGTGAATTGAATTGGATGTTTTAGTTTAGAGGAGGAGGTGAAGAAGAAGAAGAAAAAGAAAAATAAATGGAGTTAACTGAAGTTAAATGCCACGTCAACAAAAACTAACGACAATGATCTTACTGAAAACGAACTAAAAGTTTGATGATTATATTGTAAGTTTCAAAAATTGGGTGACTAAATGCAAGTGTCCTAAAAGTTTAGGGACTATTTATATACTTTACCCAAAAAATTATTTGTAAATTGGCAAAAAAAATTAAAATTATATATAAAATGATTTTCTAATGCTTTCTTTTGAAAATTCCTGACCCGCTCAGATTTTCGCCAAACAAAAGCCTCTAACCGCCACTTCGTCCTAAGCGGCTAAGCCTAATCGTTCTCTTTTTCCCCCCTCCCCAGTCCCTGACCCAAAGCCCTTTTTTTCTTAAGTTTCCGGTGGATCAGGGATTTAAATGAGGTAATTTTCTAAAACCCTAAACTCAGATTGAAGATTTATACTTTAATAACGAGATTTTGAGTTATGTTCGCTTTGTGTTATATCTGCTTTCTGCTATCATTAGGCTCTCTTTTTTTAGATCCTACTGCTCACCCCTCGTCTCCTCCTCCAGTGCCTGAGGCAAGCCCTCTCTTGCCTTCGAGCTTCCGACGGACTGGGGAATATAATAAGGTAATTTTTTTGAACCCCGAATCTAATTTGAAGATTACTTTCTACCTGAGTCGCGAGATTTTGAGTTCTATTGTCTCTGCATCTGCATCTCTCTGCTATATTTGATTTTTCTATTTTCGATCCTGATGCTTACCCCCTCCTCCAGTGCCTGACGGATTCAATTTATTGCCTTCAAGTTTCGGATAGATAAGGAGATTGATTAAGGTAATTTTTGGAACCCTAAACCTAATTTGGAAGATTACTCTACTTGAGCCCTTAGATTTTGAGTTATCTAGTCTCTGCATCTACTATATTTGATATTTATTTTCTTCTGTTTTTGATCCCCACTGATTGTTACTCTGTCTCTATTTACATTGTTGAGAAGAATTATTGTTTTAAAAACTTATTGGTTTAATGCAAATAGTGGACCCTTATCGCCACTATTTTCGGTTACACTGCTATTTCCGGCTGCAATTTCCTGCTATTGATGTGAAATTTGTTCACACTGCTATTGTGGTCTTTAGTGGGTGGCTGAAGGCACTGCAATTGCGAAATAGTGGCCAAGACATAGCTATGCCTCCTCTAGTTGAAATGTTGTTACTGATTTGTATATTGTTTGAAATTAGATTCATCTAAGTATAGGGAACTTATATGCTTTGTTCCCTAAGTATTATGTAATTTCTGGGTTTTAATGAATTATAAGGCACTCTTTTCCTCCTTCCGCTGATTAAGGAGCACTTTGTGATCCATTAATCATGAAGGGGGTTTTTATCGAGGCCTGCCATTCCTATAAAAAAAATTAGATTCATCTTGAAACACTTTACTGATTTTATTTCCTTTGAATTAGATTCAGCTATGGAAGTTGACCATTACGGTGTCCTGGGTTTACCTTCTGGTGAGGAAGGAGCCAATTTGACTGCAAAAGAAATTACCAAGGCTTATAGAGAAAAAGCCCGTGATCTTCATCCCGATAAACGAAAAGATGATCCAAACGCCCATGAAAATTTCATAAAGCTCAAATCCTCCTATGAAATTCTTGTTGACGAAAAAGCCCGCAAGCTCTTCGATGATCTTCTTCGGGTGAAACATGAACAACAACGCCGTTCTGCTCAGCAAGACTCAAAGCGAAGGAAAATGATGTCGGATTTAGAAGATAGAGAATGTGCTTCTTTCGCTCCAGATCCAGTCGTGATGGCTAAAGAGGAAGAAAAGAGAATTGCGAGGAAATTGAAAGAGGAGATTGCAAGAATACGTGCAATGCATGCAAATAAAGGTGCAAGTATGGGAACAGGCTCGGGTTCGGGCTTGAATCAAGACAACGTTGGGAGAAAAGGGAGTAATGGGGGTGGGGCTAGTGTGGAGTTGGATAAAGAGAAGGTTTTAAAGGTTTCTTGGGAAAAAATTGGGGAAGGCTATACCGCGGAGAAGCTAAGGCAATTGTTTTCCAGGTTTGGGGACGTGGAGGATATTGTAATTAAAAGCTCAAAGAAAAAAGGGTCTGCTCTAGTAGTCATGGCTACTAAAGAAGCAGCTGTAAGTGAAGTTCTTTTGTGTGATTTTTTTTTTTGATCTATTTTCTTGATCTTCTATTTTATTTATTTTTTCTTTGCAGATTGCTGCTACAGGAAGTGTTACCGGGGATCTAAACAATCCATTGCTGGTTATGCCTCTTAAACCAACCATTGTTGCAGATTTTCCAGCTCCCCAGAAGGCAGAGGAACCAGATCGTTTCAGTAATCTGGTTGGGGCTGGTTTCCAAGCTTTTGAAGATTCTGTTTTATCTAAACTGAAAAAGGTACGACCATGCTGACGAATATCGTTTATAATTTTAAGTTCAGTAATTAGAGGTGTTCATTTAGAATGTTTATAGTAACTTGAATGAACATTGGTATTTAGTTTTTATCTGGCAATGTATCTTGATTTAGCAGAATGTTCAGTGAGACTTTCCCTTGGCATTTGTCTTTTGGAGTTCTAATTGACACTTTGGGAAGGGGTTGTGAGTCATGAATGGAGTTTGAAATAGGCATTAACCATTAAATCGATTTTCCTCTGGTTTCATTTTGCTACTGTTAAGTAATTTTTGTATGCAAACAAAGCTATGCATTATAGTTTCTTAAGACTATAACAAACAGGTGATCTAGCTGTTACACATTATCAAATATAGTTAGAATTGCATTTGCCAATGATGAGTATCATTCATGTAACTCTTTTATATCTTGTTAAATGAATTGTTAACCAAATGTAATTTGAATTTGTACCATGTGTTAGATATTTAACTATCATTCTCTCGTTAAAGTTATTTTCTTTTGGCGTCTCATACTGGATTCTGATTCTGATCAGGCTGCTGAAAAACAACAAAAATGATGAAGAAAAGGCTTGAAGAACAGTGCTAATTCATCCACGGCTTGCCGTCTGGTCCTCAGAAGTTATTTTTGTATTTGATCGAATGAAAAAACATGTATAATATTTTACTTGCCAAATTAGCTTTATAAATGCACTACATACAAATTTAAGATTTAGTTCTTGTATTGTATAATTTGATCTTCTACTTTTATGACGTCTTTACTTAGATTAAACCTATAATTATTTTGGTTTTTCTCAGAAGTATGAAAAAATACAATTAAATATTTCGATTAAGATGCTAATGTTGATTTTTTTTCTTAAAAACAATAAAAAGAAATTATGTCAATATGATAGCAGGATTAGTGTTATCAGTAATTAAAGATGGTAGCCATTATAAAAATAAAAGACAGAATTATGACAAATTAAAGTACAAAATTTATATCACAAATTTGAGCATACTAGAGGGACTAAAACCAAAATTTGACCTACATTTTCAGTCCATAGCGGTTGCATCTGACGGGATTTTTACATTTTAGTATAGTTTTCCCTTTATCTTGTGAAGACACAAACAAAAGATTCTCAGACAGATTGTTTTGTTTTGTTACTTTGGTGCGTTGTCAAATTGATAGTGGTAATTAATTAATTTACTAATAAGTCTATAATCTCAGATCAGCGTTTGACTAAATCAGTAACCACACCATCACCTTATCACTGTTGTATTCATTAATCATCAATTCATCCATTTATCCCTGTGGTATTGGGAAATTTCTTCACTCCCGGAAGAAACAAAGAGACGATACGAAGAAGCAACTGATGCAAAATTTGTACGTATGATCGTCAATGGATACAACAACACCCTTACTTCCTTATCACCAAAGCCAACAGCTTCCGCCGTCATTTCTCCTCAACTACCTTTATTCTGCTCATTTCCTTGCTAGATGGGGCGCCAGGTTAAAAAAATGGGGATTCTTTCATTATATAGATTCAAATCCTGTTAAAAAAAGGGTTTCTTTCATATTGATTGATTATCACACCCATTTTGCAGCAAGTATTGTTTGATTCATTAATTTGAGTTGTTTTCAATGATTGCAGAATGTGGGAATTCTCTGTGGGTTTATATATGATCGGTGTTTGGCCTGATTCTTTGCTCCTTGTGGCTATCTATGGTGTTGTGGAATCATCCTCTACTGCTTTATTTGGTCCCATCATTGGACGATGGGTGGATAGCCTGACATATGCAAAGGTTTGCTTAATTGCTTTTGATCTTTTCTCTCTCTTTAGGTTTAATTTAATATTTCAGTTTCCACTTTCCATGTCATCAAATTATCAAACACTGGTTGAAAGGTATACTAAAAGTACCCATAGCTATAGCCATATATGTAATTTGCAAAATCTTTATCTTGAAAACAACAAGCAAAAGTTGCTGTTGGTTTTCATGAACTCCTTTCACACCAAGCATGTCGAACCTGCCGTTGATTTCGGAATCTGAACAACTTTTGTATGAAAAGAGTGGCTAAACATGTAAATTTATGTTGGCAGGTTCTTCAACTATGGTTGGTAACCCAGAACCTCTCCTTCATAATTGCTGGAGGTTCAGTAATGGCCTTACTGGTATTTCCAAGCCTGAAGTTCACGAGCATCGTTGCTTTCATCGCCCTGGCGATATTGACAAACATCTCTGGAGCTGTTTGTGTGCTTTCGACATTAGCCGGTACCATCCTGGTTGAAAGAGAATGGTAAATTGTAATTGAGAATGTAGTTTTTTGCCATCTCGATTTCTTCAATTCTCTCTATTTGAGTTGGAAGATATGGTTAATGAACCTCTTTTGTTTTTCAAGAACAGGTTGGTAGTAATATCAGAAGGCAATCCTCCTAGTTTACTCACTGATATGAACTAGGTTATTAGACGTATCGACTTAACCTGCAAGTTAGTGGCACCGGTTATAAGTGGCCTCATCATCAGCTTCGTATCACTAAAAGCATCGGCTATGGCATTTGTGTTGTGGACAACTATAACCGTATGGGTGGAATATTGGCTTTTTATGTCGGTGTACAACGGGATCCCAGCTTTAGGCATAAACAGCAGCCGAAGGCTGATTTCAAAAGTTTCACCAAGTGATCAAGTGGAAGACGCCATACCAACTTCTCAAGAAAGAAATAGTTCTGTGTTCAATGAAGGAGAGAATGCAGCATTCTCTGGCAACAGCTCTGCAAGGAGAATCATTGAGTGGATCACTAAGGTTCCCTACATCGATGCATGGAACGTATATTTGCAGCAAGACGTCATTTTAGCAGGAGTTGCTTTAGCTTTGTTGTTTTTCACTGTCCTAAGGTGAGTGCTTATGAATTCTACTTTTGTCTGAGCTTTGAACTCAGAAATAATGAAAGTAAGTAATTGAACATTGGGATTTTTTCCCTTTTTTTATCGGTGAATGGTCTTTTCTTCAGTTTCGGGACTTTGATGACGGCAGTCTTGCAATGGGAAGGGATTCCCGCATATGTAATCTGAATAACTCGTGGAATCAGTGCTTCAATTGGAATAACAGCAACGGTTGTGTACCCCGTGCTTCAATCTCGTATTTCGACGTTCAGAACCAGGTCTATCTGGTCTCAGGTATAAACAACACTAGACATTGTACACTTAAGTTCTTTTAGATACTCCATACAGAAAATAGACCAAGAGATCTTATTTGTCTTTTGAAGTTAGATTCAGTGGACTTGCCAGCTGGTATGTGTGGCTTCAATATGGGTAAAAAACAGCCAGTTATCAGCATATATGCTGATGGCCGGAGTTGCGACATCTCGGCTCGGTTTGTGGATGTTCGACTTATCCGTCATCCAACAAATGCAGGTACGATATACGATTAAATCCTCTCTTTCGAAGTGAAGCTCTTCTTCTGGTGTTGTTGCATTTTGTTTTATGTTAACACGGGATCAAGTTCCCGAATCCGATCGATGCATCGTGGGAGGAGTTCAAAACTCACTTCAGTCTACTTTTGATTTAATGGCTTATGTAATGGGAATAGTAATATCCAATCCACAGGTAAAATTCTTCCTAGAATTTTAGCTTCAAATTAAGAAGCGTTCATAGTCATCCCTGCTTGCTTGCTTTATATGATTGATACAAATTAAGGATTCTCTGGTTTCAGCATTTCTGGAAGTTGAACTTGGTATCGTTTTCGGCAGTGACGGTGGCTGCATTTCTCTACACTTACCATCTATACCGGATTCGGAAGCACGTTTTCACTTTGAGAAGTTTTACTCATTACTTCAATTATTGTGAGTTGAACATAAAAATAAGAGAAAATAACTTCAGTGACCGAAAAGGTCTTATAATATACGATTTTAACCAATTTTTTTTGGATTTGCGAAAATGACCAACAAATTCGCAACGCGAACTCCAATTTCGCAACTCAGTTTCCAAATTCGCAACGCAAATATGTAAATCGCATTGCGATTTTCCAAATTCGCGTTGCGAATTTTATTTTTGCAACTCGATTTTCGAATTCGCAACACGAATTTTAATTTCGCAACAGGTTTTATTTTCGCAACACAAATGTTTTTGGTATATAACTACGCAGCAGCAACAACTCATAACCTAAATCGCAACTCATTTCATCTTCATCTATCACTCTCTCCGACGACATCCGTTCCTATATCCAACGACATCCTTCCTCATCTCTAATTTTTTTTACTTAATTTTATTTCTATATAATTTTTCAATGATTTCTCTCCCAAATTATCAACTATCAACTTAATAAAAGTATGTTTTTCTCTAAGTTAGTGATGATATGTAGTTTATAGCTCGTTTGTTTAGTAAATTAATTTACAATTTGTAGAATGAAATCATCTAATGTTGATCATGTTTGGATAGATTTGTGTTTTGGAGGGTCATGGGAGAATGTTCATGGTGTTTTACAATATATGTCTTTACCCATGAATCTTCAACTAAAACTATCATTAAAAAAGTTAACTTATGAAACTCTAATGTTATGTGTTGCAAAGAAATTGAATTTAGAGCCCCTAAGTGGATTTAAGCTATCTTATCAAAGAAAATGTAAAGTTTATTTGTTAACCGACAATGAAGACGTTGAACGATTCATTGCTTACATTAGTGTTTCGCAAGAAGATGATGTTACATTGTATGTTGTTGAACCTAGAAGTAGTGAAGTTGGGTCAGTAGCGGGTAGTAATCAACTAAGTTCTTCAACCCCAGTTTATGGTGCTCCCAATGTACAACGTTGTTATCAACCTCAAAATTTAATGGTTCCACCACAATTTCATCACCAAGAAAATTTTGTTTCACCACATTTCCAATACCAAACACAATATCAAAACCCACAACATTTTCCTAATCCAAATCCCAATCAACTTTCAGCATCAAATTCTGGTTTTCGTATTGACCAGTTAGACGATTATGAGCCAACAGAAAAAATTGTGAGTACTAGTCAGTATTCGAAATTTGATCTTGGTCAATACCCGAACTTTGATCTTGGTCAATAGTCGGATTTTGATGATGTTTCAGAAGAAGAAACAGACCCTGCATGTAATGATTTTGATATTGGTCAATACTCGAATTTTGATGATGAAATTGTCGCTTCCGAGGAAGATGTTGTTGATAATAATGAGGAAGAAGTTACGATTGTGAATGAACATATTGAACATCCATTCTGTAATTCATATAACCCTGAAGAATAAAAAGAAGAATAAGAAGTCCCCGAAGAAAAGAAAAAGAAGAAAATGCCACAGGAGTATAACTGGAATATGTCAGAATTACTTCAGATACAGGAATAAGAGTTGGTAAAGATAGCAGTTGATTGTTACACAAAAGTTATTCGTATCAAGAAAGATGATTGTTTTGATACAAAGGAAGACTTGAAGATAGCTTTGTATACAAAATGTGTGGAAGATGGTTATTAACTAAAAGTTAACAAATCAAGCAAAGATCGTTTCGAAACAAAGTGTATGATTGACAAAACTGTAAGTGGCGTATGATTGCAAAGAGGATAAAAGATTACGAAATGTTTCAATTTAGGACTTTTATTGATAAACATACATGTTCAAGAACCCAAGTTTTTCCTCACCATAGACAGGCAAACAAAA